ATATCCCTTTCCTGTGTTTTACTGCCATTCAACAAAACAAACGGCAAGTTATGTGATGTCTATGAAATGTGCTGATGGGGAGAAGGTTAAAGCAGTAGCAATGTGCCATATAGACATATCGGGAAGGATATGGCATATGGGAACGGTTCCTGGCTTGACTTTCAGCACTTGGAAGGCCGAATGCCTTGGGTTCCATTACGATGTGTCTATATGGCACATTGCTACTGCTTTAACCTTCTCCCCATCAGCACCTTTCATAGACATCACATAACTTGCCGTTTGTTTTGTTGAATGGCAGTAAAACACAAGAAAGGGATATCTCTGCTTATGGCACGAAACAGCCTCGGGAAGGATATGGCATAGAAGTGAGCTACATTAAGAAGTGAGCTAGAGGAGCCTTCATTTACGGAAAAACGTATATGAATCATATGTCCTCAAACTATTAGGCATTAATGTAGCCCGAAACATACAATTACCAAAAAGAAAAATGTAGACATAGCTCGTCAAATATTACATTCTTAATAAACAGATAAGCTCCTGTTTTTATGTTGAAGCTTCCCAATCATTTACTAGGTTTTGCATGAAATGATTGAGCTTTGAATCAACAGCGGCACAGAGCGTCATAAAAAGTCAATATGGAAATGACTGGTTAGAAGACCTCCCCAGCCCCTGATCATATCCTAAGAGCATAAATGCTCAATAAGTGTTCCAACCATCATCTATTTGGTTAATTATCAGAAACAAGTGACATATGCTTCAACAATCAACTTCTTAATGTAGTGAATTGTGATGAGGGCCTTTGAGAAAAGACAACATGAATTGGCCATGTAGGGCACAGCCCTTAATAACGAAAGGGAAGCCACTAGCTTATGCCTTTTTTTTAAATCTTTTCCTCTTGTGACTTGGAAGTTTAAGATCATTTAAATTGTCATGCAAAGTGCATGACTGTTCTGTGATATTGGAACGTGAGCATCAAACTCAAAATTAATTACAATATGAATTAAGAAATTCAAGATTTTGTAACTGTTATTGCAAATTGCTTCAGTTCAAACAGTCCAAACAAGTTCATAATAATGCAATATTGAAATTACTGTTCAGAAGACCTGGAAGCCCCCGCCTCCGATTATACCATAAGAGCATAACTGCTCAATAACTGTACCAACCACAACGAAAGCACATGGGGCATATCAATAAATAAACCTAAAACAAATGACATGTGCTTGAAAAATCAACTTCTTCTGAAAGTTGTGAATTGTGATGAGGGCCTTTGAGATAGGAAAATATGAATTGGGCATGTAGGGCACATCGCTTATGAGAGGGAAATGACCCATTTCTGCCTCTAATTAGTTGTCATAAGAACCAAGATGCGATGTTTAACTAATTAGTAGTGGCCCCTCTGCCTAATGGGAAGTTAATTGTCATAGTTACAACATGTGATGTTTAACTAATTAGTATAGTGACCCCTCCGCAGCTACTCATAGCAAGCTTAGATTGAATTAACAATAATACATATTAATGGAGCTGCCAAATATATATCCATATATACAAAATTACAAAATTACCCCTGCCACGTCATCAAAGTCAACAGACTTTTGGATGGAGTTGACGACATGGAGTAAAGTGGGTCACCAAACTTCGGTCAATGGATGAAAGTGGACCATTTTGATTTTTTTTTTTAGGAGGGGGGCAAAGTGGGATTTGACCGAAGTTTCAGGGGGCATTGGTGTAATTAAGCCTTTAAAAAATTCGATAGATATAGATCCAAACACTGAAATCTTTAATTGCCACAAATTGAAATGATGGAAATCTAAATGATGTCATTTAGAATTCTATGTAATTTTCAATTCCTTCATCCAAATGGAGGGTAACAGGGTTCATCATTTGGCCTACGGGCAGAAGTGGGTAGCCTGAGACCCGATGGGCGAAAGTTTGGTCTGGCTCGATGGTTAGGCCCGCTCAGCTTACCCCATTCTAAGGTTGTGTAGGGCTTGAGCTTGGGGCTTGAAATTGTCCATAGCTCGGCCCAAGTAGGCCTGCCCATTGCCTTATTTCTATCCCAAACATTTAAGTAAATGCCTAGTCTTTTTACTTTAATTTATTTTTATATTACTCAATTTATTTAAGTTTACAATGTAAATAAGGAGGCAAAGGACCTACTAATGTAGTAGTTTGGAGTAACTGCTCACTCAAACAAGGTCTTGGGTTCGAATCCTAACATCTGTGTTGTGTGTGTGAGTTTAATACAACCACCCTCGTCCCCACCTGAAATCCACCCCAGCCTCACCTAAGACCCATCCTTCCAGATCCTCTCTCTCTCTGCAAATTCAAAAATTGAAAAAGAAAAAAAATTCGAACACTTTCCATCTTGGGGTGGTGGGGTTGCAGGTGGGTTCTAGGTTATGCGGGTTGGGAGATGGGGGGTGGGTTACAAGTTGGGTTGGGATCTGGGTTTTGAGAGAGAGAGAGAGAGAGAGAGAGAGAGAGAGAGAGAGAGATTTGGATTTATTTATTTAATTATTTTTTTCACTTTTTTCAATTTTTAAAATTTAAAATATTTTAATTGAGATGGATGGTTTAGCCCTCAAATTAACTGCCAAATTGACTGAATGACTCAATTGGAACGGATGAGAGAGTTGGATGATCTAATTGCCTCAAAAAAAAAGTTCAGGGACCCAATTGCAACTTGAGGTAAAGTTCAGGGACCTCTACAATTAAAAACCCTTTAATTTAATTTAAAAAAAATCAAATTGACTACTAAAATATAAATTTATATAATAAATGTCTTCCAGAAATCTTGGTAAATGAGTAAAATTTATTGGATGATTGACGCTGCGGGTTAAACGTCAATACCCTTGAGTCCATGGTCCATTACCCCTAGGTAGGTTGTCTTGTCTGTGTCTATGGATGGGGCGTTCACATGGATATATTATGTGCCACTCTGTATCTGTAACATTATATGATATGTGGCAGATCCTTTAAATTTCTTATTTCTACATTGTATTTTACTCTGCATTACATTAGCCAAATCAGTTAAGAAATTTTCAGGGCTTGTCTTTGTGCCAATAAAAAGAGATCTCTGAACTTGAAGGACTTTCATGTTGCAAAAGAATAATAAAAAACGCAATGCCAAGTAACTCTGGTTACATTCTAACATTTCAATTTCATTTTGCTTCTACGAACATATCTGGAGAAATTTAAAGTTTCGAATTGAAGAACAAGTGAAGCAGCTGAAGATGTTTGAACTGCAACAAAAACAAGTAATAACCTGTTGAAGACTCACGCGGTTTTCTCTTTAGCCTTTGGTGAGAAGAGGTGTACCAGAATCTTATGCAGTTGAAGAGCTCATGTGAAGAGCTACTAAGGATGCATAAAATCCATCAGAGATATTCATCAGAGTATCATGCTTGCCTATCTCTACGATAACCCCATTTTTAACCACTGCCATCACATCTGCATTCTTGATTGTGGATAGTCGATGGGCAACCACCACTGATATCTATTTTTGGATATCAACAGAAATGGAAGTGCTGAGAAGGTTTCAGATATTGAAGTTTCAAAGTTAACGCCTTTCTTAGAATTTTCTTTGGTGTAAGGTTCTAGGTGACCTTAATGTCCATTCACATAAAATGCTAGTTGTAATTGCTTTCCATGTGTCGTTCTACTATTCGTCCATACTATCACCTGGCAAATGCTTCATGGTAATTCGATACAACCTACTAATTTCTCTGAAAATTGGCTAAAACTTTGCTCATTTGGATATTGGATATTTGTTCCATATAGCAATATTTTATAACTTGAAAGCCCTCACTGTTGACGTCAAAATTAAAAGCAAAGTAAAAACGTGGGCTTTGCAATTGGCAAATTGGTAAACTTACAAGACGAAAACACTCAGCCAGCACCATTTAATTGATGTGCCAAATAGATGCGAAACAAGTTACTTAAATGAAAAATAAATAAATAACTGATGGAGTAGAGTTGTGAGACCGTCTTGATTATCAAATTCACATTCATACATCATGTATTTGAACCCAATACTTTTCTCTTTTTTTTCAAAAATGAATTTCCAGTTAGTAGGTCCAATGCTTGGGGTGTTGTTTTAGTAAATTTTGTAAAGGAAAAAGTTTGGCTCCTTAAAATTTAGGAGGAGCTCCTTCTTACAACCTATGTGGTTTTGACACATGCCAATTTTTTTTAAATTTCTTTTTTGTCGAAACTTTGTCAATGTTGCTAGAATTTGACAAGTGTCAAAACCCCATTGATTTTAAGGAGGAGCTCCTCCTTAATTTTAAGCAGCCAAGCCTTACTCTTATGTAAATAGGATACTACTTGACTAATTATTCGTAAGGAGATACTCCTCCTTCATATGAATCACAGTTTGACATATATGCAAAAATAATTCATGAAAAACACAAAAGAAAAAATCTCATTAGATACTAGTATTTTCCATGTAGATACTGGTATTTTTAGGGAGCTTCACTATTATGCCTAATATAGGGGCCAAAATTATTTATTTTAAAATAAATAAATAAACCTACATGAAATAGACTTTAGAGCATCTACAATCATGCTCCCTATTTTTTAGTTAAAATCTCATTCTTAGCACTAATAATATATATAAATCCTATGACCCTATTGAATTTAATTTTGATTATTAAATTACTCCGATGTCCTATTGAGTGTTTTGGGCCTTTTTATGAGGTTTTGGGGTTGAGTTTGTTTTAAGAAATCAATGGCAGTTTTGTAATTTAAAAGAAGTTAAAAGTTTTTTTTGTTATGTTGTTAATGAGATTTGGGTGTGTTTCTAAAGTCTATTTCATATAGGGTATTTTTATAATTTGCACTCTTATATTGAGTATAAAAGTGAATCTCCCTAAAAAGTATTAAAAGATAAAAGGAAAGAAGAATGAGAAAATCACCCAACACCACAAAAAATCAGAAGAAAAAAAACGGGTCAGTTACGTTGGTCATATGTGGGGTAGATAAGGTTAGTCTGTCTCCACTGTAACCACACCCATATCCAAAACCAGTGACATATATGTGATTCTCAAGAGATGGGCAAACAAAGATCAAACTTCTCATAAAAATGGCAGCCAAGTTGGCCCTCTCTTCTCCCACCACAACATTTCTAGCCTCCTCTAGCCCATCACTGCTATATCCTCCTTCTTTCACTTCCATTTCACCAAAGAGGAGGGCACACAATTTCAAGATTCATGCAGAATTGGGTAAAAGAGTTCTCTTTTTCTTTTCTTTTCCTGCATTTGAATGTAAATGATGTAAATCTCATAAATGTTCTTGTTATTGCTTGGTTTTTTTACAAATGTTTGTCCCAAGTGAGACTGAGATGATAACTTGAGAAGATATCTTCTAATGCTTTTAGGTGGTGGAGATGGAGAAATAAAAAAGGAAGGGAAGAAAAAGTTCATAACTAGAGAACAAGAGCCAGAACAGTAAGTTTTCCACTCTTTATCAGTTAGCAGTTTATCTATGGTCATCTTCTTAAGAAAGTGTTGATAAAAAAACAAATACAATGTCAAGGGAGTGATTCAAATAGCATAAGGAATTTACCATTTGCAATTTTGCAGGTACTGGCAAACAGCAGGAGAAAGGGAAGGGGAAAATCCCATGATGACCCCTCTTCCTTACATCATCATATTTGGCATGTCCACTCCTTTTGTAATCTTAGCCATTGCTTTTGCTAATGGTTGGGTTAAGGTGCCGGTTCGATGATTGGCTGCAAGTGCAGCCTGGGGAGCAGCAGCAACAACACATGAGTTTATAATATTATTCAGTTCATTACACCTTAGTTCTACCATTTGAGTTCGTCTCAAATGCTAGTTTTTTCACCAATTTGTTTGATACACGTTATGAGTTTCTCAGATATATTGATCACAGTTGGGTCCTCTTGTTATTGTTCTTGGCTATGGTTAAGAAGGCACCACAATGTTTGTGAAAGGAAAGAAAAACCTTTTTCTTTTCCCCTATTGGCAATGGCCAGTGTTGTTTTTTTCATTTTTGGTCTTCACAGAGTATCTCAGCTAACAAACTTAATGAAATCAGAAGCTCAAAATAATTGATGAAAGGGCACATGATCATATCCAAATTGAAGTACTTGAAATATATTTGGCAAACAATCCAATTTTCACAGTTTTACCTACATTAACTGCTTTCTCAACCTACTGAATCATTACAATCCTCTAATCAATATTACATCTATAAAATATTCTCTACTCCCATAATGAGATAAAAAGAACTAATGATCTGCTCTTCTCAATGGCTTGTATAATACCGCAGTAACAAGTTTTTGACGAAACCTATGTGTAGAGCTGAGTGCAAAAAACTTGCCACCAACATGGTTCTGGATGTGCAAATGGTTCAATTGTGAATGATGAGGCATTGGCAATGGCTGGTCACCACCATTTGAGGAGGATGGCTTGTTTAAAAATGCTTCTTGTAGCTGTGGGGGTACTTCTGGCGGAGGTTTACTGAAATCATCTTCGCTTAAGCGCCTGTTATCGTAGCTTGAGGGTGGGGATGGAGGAGATTCGAACTTTGCAAGACGCTCACGCAAATCTGAAACACATTCCTGCATAATGCATTTTGAGAGTGAAATCGGCTGAAGCAGTATTAAACTGACAACATGAATAATTTCTCCAAATATGATAATCTATGATTTTCAACTGTCATGCCATAAGATGTCGGCTAGATTTGTTTGGAGAGTAAACTAACAGAGGATAGGTTTCTTTTATGCCCTTTTTTCTTATGCTTAGATTCCAAGTTTTCTTCTTTTAGCTCCCTAGCTCAGAAAAGAGCTTTATGAGTAAGTAATTATGATGACTTCCTCAATTCCTATAATCCACTAGTGTATAATATAATATGCAAAGACAGAAACAACTAACAATAAAACTCCAATATGATGCAGAGCAATATTACACAGATTCATCTGCTAAGTGCGGAAGAAAGGTTATCAGCAAGACAGATTCACAATGCACTGAAATGTCCTAATCAATTGGATGGGCCAAATATGATTGGAAAGTTATGTACATATCATTATTAGTACTTGGAGACTTGGGGAGAATTTAAGGTCCCATTCATATTTTGGTCTTAAAGTTCCAATTAACAATCTCAAGCAAACTGTGGTTGATTTACGAGTTTAAACACAGACTGAGATTATCCGGGGTTAGGTCCTTACTCATAAGCTCATCCTGCAATGCAAGTAAAAGCAAGCAGAAAGAACCCAATACTGTGATGTGATAAAGAACATTCAGTTTGCTTGCTAGTAAAGTTGATATTTTGCCCAATAAAATGTTGAAATCAAGTTTAGGTAACCTTGTCTTAGGCGTTTTGTGTAAGAGGGTGAGTGCAGGTGAGACAGATTGCTTCTATATTCCTAAGACTTTTCCTGATAATACTTGATATGTAAACTGATCTCCACTCAACTAAACTTGACCTTCATCCCAAAAGTACATCATATTTAGCCTAAGTGCAAGATAAACCCTTACATATAATGAAAAGACAGGGAGCAAGAGGCCTAGTACAAGGAACAGAACAGTTTTTCAATTATAGACCAGCCATTAGAAGTCATTATATTTATTACCTGCAAGTCCAAAACATTATAGGCACTCCCTGAATTATCATAGACCCATGGCAAGTCCGCAGCACACCTCAAACACCCGTCAACAATGAAGCGGTACTGGTAGAGACCTGATGGAAGCAACTTCAAGATAACGAAATCTGGGCCAATACTCTGCATGAGTTCACTGATAGGAGGTGAAAGTTATTCATATAAAATCATGATTATGTCAAAAACAGAAAATGAAGTTGGAAATTTAATGATGAAACTGCTATGTAACTTAGTACCTGGTCTCCCAATTGTCCCATGATCCTGTGATAGCAACTTGCCTACCACCATGGTTCCATGATATCTTCGCCCGTATCAATTTCTCGTTGTGTACATATTCATTATAAACTGTATGTTGTGATAATGCCCCAGCTGGTCTTGGTAAGGGGTCCCCAGGATTCTGAAAATGTAGATAAAAATTTAGAGAGTTTCATACCTGTGTTCATGTGTCTTTTATACATGCCAGATTTTGCAGAACATAAATCTTTATAAACTTAGTTAAAAGTGATAGCTCTAATATGCAAGGGAAACTTTCTTTTGCCTTTTATGTTACGCATCACATCAATCCTAGTGCAAAGATAAAAATATGAAATCTGACAAATTCATTTCCCATTATTTTATTTTTTTTGGAAAACCAGAGAGAATAACCTTAGCAGAAGGATACATTTTTCTTGAAACCAATAGATGTATAGCATTTGGACATTTATCAAACAAGTATTGACTAGATTCATCTTCAAAGTAAAGGCAGAATGTCAACAGATATCACATGTAGTTTTTACTAGTTATCTTTTGACAATTAGGCTCACCCCATTGCTTGAATAATCAAAGAAATGATTGTCAAGAGACAAAACAGCACAAAGAAACTCACCATAACTCAAGACAATCACATGATGCCACATTTCTTTCATAAACTGGTAAAATTGCACTGAACTAAAGCAAACAACTTTCACCCCTTTACAGTCTTCTTGTCAAATTACAATTATTAATCCAAATAAACAAGTAAGAGAGATGCCTTTTTGAGGAACTCTTCTTCAAACTTCTCTTCTGTCAACAAAGCAAAAGCATACACACATGATATTCTTGAAAAAAATAGAAAAACGCAGAAAAGAACTCACTTGTGAAGTGAAGAAGAGAGATGGGTGGAAAGCTCTGGGGCTATGGGGAGGAGAGTGAGCCATGGGTTCTACATATCCATCATACTCTTGAAAGTTGTCAACTTCTGAAGGGCCTTCTCCATCTTTTCTACCACTGGCATTACCCATTACTGAAAACAAAGGAAACCCAGTTATAATCTGATTTATATTCTTATAATTATAACAGGAAAAAAAATATCAAAAGGGCAAAACAGAAAAAGAAAAGAGAAAAAATAAATAAATCTTCTTTGATGAAGAATTGAAAAGGCAAAAAAACAGACACAAGAACAAACCCAAAAACAGAAAAAGCAAAAGACCCAAGTGACTAACTTGGGTTTTTGATTGATGACATACCCATCTCTGTAAACAGATTGCAAACACACAAGAAACCCAACCAGGAATTGACTGAAGGAAAGGTAGCATTATTTTTCCACCTTCACTTACAGACTTTTTTTTTGCCCTTTGAATTTTTCTTTTTCTGTGTAAATGGACAGCACAAGTAGCTCTCTCTCTCTCTCTCTCTCTCTCAAATCACTGGCTCAGTGTTGAAAAGGCAACTGTGCATAAGGAACAGTGAATTTGATTCTCCAATGAGTTTGGAAGATCCTACGGTGGACTAATAATGGTGTCTGTTTCAAAGCAGAAGGTTGCCTTGTGTTGTGCTGTGGCTTGTGTCATTTTTACGCTCTGTTTCCTCAGTTGTTGCTACAACTTGATGCAGCAACCAATTCCAGCCTGCCACCTCACCGCAGTGAGTTAGCTAGTTGGTTTTGATTTTACAGTTTTGGGCCTCAGATTCACTAGCGTGAGCATGGCACTACTGGAATAAGACTCTTTTCTTGTATGGACCCCTAAAATCTTCATTCAAAGAGTGCCAAGAAAGCCACATCATAAAGCAAAAGCTGTTTGTTGAATTTTCCATATTTTTATTTCTTATTCTTTCTCGTGAATTGTATTTGTAATTGTATTTGCTTAAACAGAATCGTTATGGACATGTTCCTTATAAAAATATAAAGATTAAACTTCACGACAAGAAGTGCACGATGGCTTTTTTAAAATATGATATCATTTCATAACGAGAAGTGCACGATGACTTTTTTAAAATATGATATCAAAATTCAATGTATTTAAAATACGAAATATGTTTCATAGTTTTCAACATAAGTACAATATTAATCATAACAAGAAGTGCACGATGATTTTTTTAAAATATGATATCAAAATTCAATGTATTTAAAATACGAAATATGTTTCATAGTTTTCAACATAAGTACAATATTAATATAAAAATATACAGTAATTTGTACATAATTTTAATATACTTTACTTCAACTGGACTGGCTAGAAACAATCAAACCAAGTATGTTGTTATTTATTTATTAACATATTGCATAAAAATATTCTGTTAGAATTAAAATGCAAGAAAAGCATCCATTGAGAATTCATTCTTTCTCTTTTGCTCGATCAATGTCTTTTAAAATTAAGCTTTATTCTTGTGCAAGCGACATTGACAATGTCCTGCCTGTTGATGGAGAGATTTTAGCATCAAAACAAACCTAAACCTTTAATTAACAAAGTAAAGCCAAGTCTAAACCCTATTCTGCCTCTCAAACAAAGCACAATAAAAAGTTGTCTTCGAATTTCAAAACCCTTTGTCTTATATAGTTGAGGCCATTTGGAACACCCCATTAACATTATTATTCAGTTAATTACTGATTAACTTTGTGTTTAGGCAAAAACATGCTTACTTTCCCATTGGCTCTATCAAACCACTTTTGGGTGGTGACAATTCTCCCCTAGGCATTGTTTGAAGTATAGGGTTAAACAAAAGGCTTCTTAGATGTAGGTCCAATTTTGTTAAGATATAATGGATGCAGGACATCAATATTAACTCCTCAATAGAAGTCCTCCAAGCTAGTGTGTGGACAGATACGCAATTGATTTGTCCTTCCTTTTTAACATATTTACTTACAGTACCATTAAATAGAAAAGGAAAATGAAGCAACACATCCCAGCAATTATGGGAACTCCTACAATCATGCTCATTAACAATCTCTGCAGATTTCTTGCATCAATAATGGAGATCTTTTTTTTAGTATACACATTATAGGAACCTGGTGGAAAACACCTACTTGTCGCCTAGGTAGCATTACCATAGTAAGCTTAAAACGTCAAAAAAATGTCCTCCTTGCAAGAATTGCTCTCAGAAGAAAGACTTGAACTTGGAAAAAAGTACCCAAAAAGCCAAAAACAAGTTAAACACAAAGAAAGACTTGCACCAAATTAATCTATAGCTCTGCTGCCTATACACATATACCATGATCGAAAAAATTACGATTTTTCCAACCACAAGGCTCAGAAGCCTCTCATGAGAAAAGGGTCGTCATAAACACCTACCTAACATTTTCATATTATAACTATAACAAGTGTTTTCTACCCACAAAAATACCTATATAAAATACATACCTAGGGCTGGGGATGAGTCATATTATACCAATAGCACAGGTGTATCTCATTATACGTGTCAAATAGGTAGCTGATTCATATTGTACCTATGCCATGGATGAGTTATATTGTACCTATGTAGAATAAGATACATGTTGATTAGGTAGCTCATATTATAACTATACAACATATAATTCATATGTACCAATACGATATATTATTCAAGGTAAAGGTAGGACGAGATACCTATTGAATATGGAGCTGAGAGAAGCAAGAAATCAGTAGATTGGGATGGAAGAAGCATGATTGTAGGTAAAAATGTGATTTTTGGGATATGTCTGTTGTATTTGTAGCCAAACATTGTAAATGGCTAATTATTATGACATAAATAACTATTACCTGATTCAAGTCATAAGGGGCATTGGAAAAAAAAAATATTTTATAAATTAAAAACAAAAAAGATTACATAAGATAATATCAAAAAAGGAATGTAATCTTATGTGGCAAAAAAGTAAAGGACTTGGATCAAAGTCACCAAATTTGAGGATTAAACCCAACTCCTTAATGCGAATTTGGATCTATATCAACTTTTCTATTAAACAAATCATCAAAATTTTAACAGTATTAGTTGTCAACGTGCACATGAATAATTGATTAATTCAGCATTAACGAACCAATAACTCTTGAACAATGTTGTTTAGTAAACTCATTGCAATCATGAATTAATCTAACACCTTATACAAATCAACTTACTCATCATAACTTTGGTTTTTCAATATAGTGGAGAGAAATCAAATCAATCACATGAAAGTCTAGCAAAATTTGGCATGGCTAGGTTGCTTTTGGCTAGTTCACCCATCTATGTATATATATATATATATACAACTAGTAGCTAGGTCCTTCATGGAGTACTCCACCCTATATGGAAAAAAAAAAACAAAACAAAATAAAACGCCCCTTCCTAGCTATAAGGGTCCAAAAGTTTAGATCTCTCTCCATGTGAGACTTGCTTATATAATATACCAATGAAATCGAATATGCCAACTATATCATAGAACTAGGTGCAAGTTGAGCAGGTTTTGAGTACCCTCCAATGTAGATAATATAAGAAGCCAGAGACACATGAGATCATAGAATTTGGGAAGTGGGCATCTCTCTCTTTCTGTTCATCCACTCAGTTATATAACAAGCTAAAGGCAATGCTGCAGATGCTAACAAATCCTAGTCTTGCAATTTCCTCTCTCTCTTTTTTTGTGTGTCATTTCATTTGGGCTCTCATAAGTTAACGCATTAGTGCAAGAATCTAATGAGAGTGATTTTTCCCTCTCAGAGAATCCTTGGCAAAGAAAGCAAATATAAAAGTTATGAGAGAGAGAGAGAGAGAGAGAGAATTGACAATATCTTCATTATAATGAAAAATATAGAAAAAGTACAGAAATATATATAGGTTGGTAGTTAAATGTTGGCATCACATAGGTGGAGATGTGACACGAGAAGAGAATCTGCTGCCTGGGTCAGTGTCTATATGGCCATTGGAGGACAGCAACCTGTACTACACAAAATGAAAATTATATGAAATATATGTGTAATGCAAGAATCATCGTTTTCAACTTTCATTGCCATGAAAAATGAAAATGAAATTATATATCTAAGGTTCAAATTGATTTACATGAACGTTAACTGAGTTGGACCGTTCATCCCTTGAAAGTCGCTTTACAAGTCACTCATTTTGTTTGTATAAAAAAAAAAAACTTTACATACTTGAAAGCGAATATAAAATGACCCTAGGGAGTTATAAAGCAATTACAAGAAATAGCTTAAGGAGGTGGACAGTGATGGATCTAGGAAACCCTATAAAGATCATTGAGAAACCTAACGATTTTTTACATATAAGCACTCTTTGTCAAAAAGTATCCCCAAGAGATTACTTCATACTTACGTAACACAATATATCGAATAACACATTTCAATGTGAAAATAAAATGCAAAAATTTGTAGGTAAATACACTATTTTTTTTACACAAGTTAACGCGTTTTGGATTGTGCGTCAATAATGTGTCAGAGTGTCTTGTACTTTGACTATTGAATATGTTTTTGTTGTTAAAAAAATTTGTAAGTTTTTTTTAAGACCTTTTCTATTAAGAGAGGAGATAGTATACTAAACTCACACACACTACATAGATGCTGGGACTCGAACCCAAGAACTTTGTTGTTTAGCCTCATGTTTTGTACCATGGAAGTACTTGTTGCTTGCCTTATTTAGCTTGTATTTGCTTTAGAGCAAGTACTAATATGTTAATCATATAAAACTCAACGTATGACTTTTAATCTGCAACCAAAAACTATGGGCCACCGCTGTAAATTAAATTAGTACCAACAGTTTATAGGCAGCTCTAGATTCAAAGCACGATTTGTGTTATCCAAAAAAGTGTACAATTACGATGAAACATTCATGGAGTCTTAGATATGGTCCCCTCCATTCTCACAGCTCAAACATTCCTTGAGTTACACAGATCTCCAACACCAATCTGGTCAAGACAAAAACTTCTCAGACCCCCAAACACATTTTCATTTTGAACCAAGTTATTAACAATATCAAGGTTGTTTCTCAATGTCTTGTAGTTAGGGAACTAGGGTTTCATGTCTGTGAGAGACTGCTTTATCGTAGAGCTACCACACGCAAATGGGCGACAAGTGGCATCATCTTCGTTGCCTTAGTTAATTTCTTTGACAGCTGCACAATGTTATTTTTACTTGTTTCCCATGAGGACGGTATTCATGTTGGTATTTTGACGTGCAAGGAAGATTGGGGAGAAGATTAATTATTCAAGTGGTCCACAATGGGAAAAATACCGAGAAGGAAAGTCTTTTGAGATGCATGGGTTGCTCATGGATTTAAAAAAACTAATGAAAGAATTGTTTTTATAGTTATTGAAATATCGGAGGGGAGGGGATGAGATTCGAATACAGAGCTTCGGTTGTAGAAGTAACTGCTCTATTACAGGCAGTTTGATCAAATAATTAACAATCTAGCAACATAAAATATTTATCCAACGAATTGAAGGATATGATAAGTGTCTTATTAAAAGTTTAACCAATACCAATTAGTTACGCGACATTCATATATATGCACATTAGACAAATCCCACTAAATCTGTTGACACCATAGTCAATTTGATTTTTGTCATATTAAGTGTAATAATGTTCATGTTAATTTCTCAAAGTGAAAGTCTTTCAATGATCCCAAAGGGAGCAAAAGCTTGAATATAAGTTTGAATATAAGTAAAAAGTCTTCAAACCCTCGACATGATTTCATGGCATGGATGAAAGACTAGGCCATATATCCCACCGGATTATAGGGGAGTGGGGCAAGGCAAGCATATATATATATATGCATGGTTGGTAGAGGCACATAGATGGCCCATATGTTCAAGCATACTTGAATAAATCATCATTAGTGCCACAACCCCAATAAACACAAAAGTATGAATCACGATTAACACTCATAAAGCTAATAGCTATACACACGCATCATCACAAGAATGTCAACATCTTATGATGTTTATCCATCAAAATCAAAGATAAATAACCTACATTCATGATTTACAAGTTGATACTTCTTTTTTTTTTTTTTTTTTTTTTGCCCCACATTTTGTTGCCAAGAAACTAAGCACAGTATGGTGGGTTCCCAACTAGACGGCTATTGTCCCAAAATTTTACTAGTTTAAGCAAAGAGTGGGGTTTATTTCAAAAGATTTCACTGTGATTTTAGCATTTTTCCTTCTTTTAATGTTCTCAACTAAGAACTGTAGACCACTTTTTTTCTTTTTCCTTTGGATGAGTAAGTGATCCCATGTCTTGTTTGCTTCATCCCCTCACTGCTTATTTTCAAAGAACTTGGTTTTGAAATAATTGAGCATGGTTTTCTGTAGGGTGTTTATGGTCTGTCTTACACAAGCCCGGTAATCAATGCATGTTGCATATGCATAAGCTTGATGTTATTGCCACACGAGGGAAAATTTGACTGAAGGGTCTCTTTAATTTGAATGCTAGCTACTCTTCCCATAATTTGCTGCAAAAGAAATGGTAGCTTCCAAAGATGATGCCCCAGAAGACTGTGAAAGCAATTTGGTTTCTGCTGAAAAGTTGGTCTTTTGAGTTGGTTTGAACAAGCTAGCTGATCATGAAGGAAAACAAATTTCTGTTAATGGGTGTGGCTGGTTTAGAGGAGAGATAATGAGCATTATGTTTGATGACAGTCAGGTACAGTACTTCTAATATCCATTAGTCTTGGAGTTGACGAAGATAAATGAATGAATGGAGGGATAATTAATCTTGGTCCACTGTTTTTTTTTTCTTTTGTATTTATCTTTCTTTTTGTTGAATTGAAGTTGGATGGAAAGTGCCATGTGGTGAGCTCAGATGGGTGCACATGGTTTCTCTCATTTCCCAAGCTTTCAGAGTGTAAACCAATACAGGGAAACCAAGGGGTTTTGGGTTTTTCAAGAGAATCAGTTGCAGAGTAAAACCTACCTGATTGGTGTTAATTGTTATTTTAAAAAAAACCCCAGTTTTTAGGTGTAATGGGGGCTTGGGAACTGTGAGTTTGTGATCAGAGCAACCACCCTTTCAGTAAAACTCCATTTTTATAATAAATTAAGTAGTATTTGTTCTTCGCCTTACCTTGCTTGCTTCTTCTTTGCAAACTAGTGTAGTTACCTACTGCAGCTGGTTCCTTGCTGTTCATGCCTTTTTCATACAACTATTAATATCAAGTGCAGTTTCTTGTTCAAATCCCACCTAAGCCTTTCCTTTTTTTGGTTTTGAAATATATTCAAATATTTGAGCAAGGAAAGCACTGGAGATTTGAAGATTGTAAAGTGTGTTCTTGAAAGATTCTCTCTATCCTAGATCCTTCATTTTGTGCTATAGATTTGTGACTGCTATTTTTTTTTTTGCTTATTCTAGAGTTGAAAAGGCCACTCTACCAGCTTTCTGCTATAAATTTTTGTTCCATCATTTACCCTCAGTATTCTTCTGTACATCTCTACCAACTTATCTACTGTACATGCAATCCAAGTTCCAACTAAAGGGAAAGTTTTTCTCTCCACTTAGCTTAATTGGTTTTCTTTCAATAATTACTTGCTCAGGTTTCAGAAATTCATGGAGTTGAAAAACATACTTGAGGATCAAATGGCTACTGCTTTGTGGTTCTTCAGGTTCCCACCACCATGGATGGCAGTTGTTGCTCCATTTCTTATATTGATGGGATTAATGGGCTTTGGGTTCTTCTCCATCTTCCTAACATCAATGGTATTGATTCTGTCGACTGTTTTCTTCACATTTTGTAAGCAAAAACCTGTTCTGGTTGAGAAGTTAGTTGAAGAAAAGGTTCTCATCAGGTGTGACCAATCGTTCTCTCCTTGCTTGGAAGATGAATCAAGAACACAACATGATGAGGAAGAAACTGCTGCCTTACAAAAGAAGGAAGCTCAAGAAGAAGGTATGAACCCTGTTCATAATTACTTAGGAGCATCACCATGTTCACCAGATTTGATATCAGAAAGAGAATGCCTTGATCACTTGTCAACTAGTGATGAATCTGAAGTAGACTGGTCATTTGGAGACAACGCGGTTCAGAGTCCGGATTGCTCAGACGGTTCCATCTCCGATGAGGATAGCCTCATCGAAATAGCCCTGCCGGGCGGATACTATGTTGGTCATAAGGAACAAGAGTCAATCTTTAATCTGCAGCAGAAAAGGCCAGGTTTGTCACACCAGTCCATTTTCCAACAGCATACTCTATTGGAGCTATTAGCTGAGATCAATGAGATGAATGAGGAAGAAAACTTGATCGAAATCGACTTGTCCATGGGCTCTATCAAGTGTTCAAGGTTTGAGATTGAAGCTTGAGTTAGCCTTTTTTCAGAGTTCACCATATTTAAGTTTTTGATCCTCCCTGGATTTTGGTTGAAAGTTACATGCTTCTGTGCTTTTGCTACTTTGTGTTATATTGTTGTGCACTGTGAAGCTCCTGCTTTTTGACAAACTTTGGATACCCATTAAAGCATTTGTACTATTCCACTTTACTTTCTCCTAATGCACATTAAATTAAAGTATTAAGAGTTCAAAGGTGGAAAAAAAACATTTGATTTTGATGGAATTCCCACTTGCTTTTCCTTTTCTGCAGAACCTCTTTTTGCTGTCTATATGGCCACAATGGTCACCATTTAGATCTCTTCTATCACTTTTCTGGATTCTGAAGGACAATTCAGGATTAAGATTCAACCTTTTGTTAAATCAATAAACTAGATGTTGACTATTAGCATATGCAATTAGTGCATTAATCATCAATTATTAACTGGATCAGATCTTCAGACTAATGTGTACTCTCTTTTTTTTTTAATAATGATTCTGAACAAATATTTGACAAGATCTCATTTTTTTGACTGAGATCAGTACAAGTTCTGACTTTTGTTTTACCTTCTATGCCAATTGCTCAATGTCCATAAAAAGCAGGTCAATTCAGACTAAATTTACAGTTGATTGTGCTTTTAATCACTCCATGGCACTTCAAATTCCATTGCAGGATCAAGCAGTAAAACTTGGAATCACTTCCTTCAATATGGAAAATTTTCTTATGAAAGTTGTAGAGAATATCTCTCATTTTTTATGAAAAGAAGAACAAATAGTAGAATTTCATTCCCAACGGCGATCCCTTTTCTTTTCTTTGATGTTTCACATTTATCATCAAACAAATGGGATTAGTGCCGATTCGATTGATGGGAGAGAGACATATGCGGATTAGTACAATTATTGTTAGCATCAGATTCAGGATTCAATATTCTGCATTTTGCAACTAGTTCTATGATAAGGTTGAGCCCATCAAGCTAAATTATTTCAAGCTTAAACTAGTTGAAATTGCAAAGTTCTTATTAGTTATATTGAAGGTTCTGAATGTTCCCACCAGGACTTTTGGCACACAGTGAAGGGGCATATGGCTGCCCATTAGGCACCTTATCCAAATTGTTACCTTCTCCATCTCCTGCTCAACTCAAGGCAGAAGGTTACACTTACATTATCCACAAATATTTCTCAAAATTCTTCACCTTTTCTTTTCAATCTATTGTTTTTGTTTTGTTTTTTTAAATATTCAATAGCTACATTTCTTGAGATTGAAAAGAAAGTGAAGATTAATACTCCACTAGACCAAATGGGCATAGACTCCATTGTTTTATAGCTTTAAATTAGTGGTGTTTGTTAAAGTTTTATACTTTAATATTAGAGAATGATCAGTTTCTAAATCAGATTTGTATCGAAGCCAAATATGAATTGTGTTAGATTAAGAATATAATAAGTTTTCAATTCAAAATTAATTAGCAATTGAAATGATATATTTGTGGAGAAAAACTTGTATTGTATCTAAGATAACACTATTTTGCTATTCTTAACCAATCACGTTCTATCGCGGCGTGATAGAAATTCCACATGTTAGAACGTGATTAGATGAAAATAGCAAAATAGTGATATTTCCGTTCCACATACAAGTTCTTCTAATATTGTTTAGACGAGGGTTATATTTCCGAGAGATTCTACAGTCTCAACAAACTGCTTGCTATGTAAGCCTTAGCCGCGGCTTTCAGTAACGGCTACAAGTAAGACCACGTGTGGAAACCGGTGGATTCAACGGTTTAGATTTGACTTTTACACTTTGTTCGACTCGGCTACAGCTTAGAGCCAAAGCCGCAGCAGCGGCCTGAAGATTCTCAAAACGGACAGCAGCATACGTGTCACTTCCACTGCCGTTAGATCCAACACCCCACACTCCAATCCAACAACCCAAAAACCCCCACCTAACTCACAACTTATCGAGAAACAACCGGCCCAGAACGATCCACGTGTCGCTCCCGATGCATTATTAACCCTCCAGATCCAACGGACCCCAACACCTCCGCCTCTCCTCCCGCATCGCTCTCCGACGCAGTCCATCCGAGACGCCCAAGACCCCCGATAATGGCCGATTCGGACAACGACTCGGGCGGGAACAACGACGGCAGCCACGCTCAGAGCGGGGAGCTGTCGGCGCGTGAGCAGGACCGATTCCTGCCGATCGCTAACGTGAGCCGGATCATGAAGAAGGCGCTGCCGGCGAACGCGAAGATCTCGAAGGACGCGAAGGAGACGGTGCAGGAGTGCGTGTCGGAATTTATCAGCTTCGTCACCGGAGAGGCGTCCGACAAGTGCCAGAGAGAGAAGAGGAAGACGATCAACGGGGACGATTTGCTCTGGGCGATGACGACGCTAGGGTTCGAGGAGTACGTGGAGCCGCTCAAGGTTTATCTGCAGAAGTTTCGGGAGGTGGAGGGCGAGAAGACCACCATGGGCGGCAGAGACAAGGATAGTGCAGGCGGCGGCGGTGGGGGGGCTTCCGGTGGCGGTGTAAGCTCTGGGTCAAGCGGCGGTGGTGGTGGGTATAATGGGGTTTATGGTGGAATGGTGATGATGGGTAATCATCATCATAATCAGGGACACGTGTACGGTTCTGGTGGCGGGTATCAACAACATCAAATGGGTATGGGAAGTGGAGGAGTTAGGGTTGGGAATAGTGGAGGTTCAGGTAGTGGTGGAAATGGTGGAGCTTCAGTTGTGAGGTGACTCAGGTCAATGCAGGTGCTTTGCTGGGTGGGTTTAATTAGGGATGATGATTATGACTGTTAATCTTAATTTAGGTGGGTTAATTAAATTTCTTGCGTTCTATATCTGTGTGTGTGTGTGTGTTTGTCTGTAAGTGTAATTGTGGGAAAAGGAAAGGGGTATAGTGGGAAAGGAAAAATGTATGTATGTAGCTAATAGAGGGAGGGAGGTAAGAAAAAGTAGAAACAAGAACTGGGTGTATCTGTAATTGTATCATATTGATTCTCATGTAGATAGTTTTGATTAAACCCCAATTTATTTGTTGGACTTTGGTTGGTTCTAAATTTCCAATCTGTTGAAAAGAATCCATGAATCATGGGTTTTGCTTATATGAGCTGAGACTGACAGAGGAGGAAAAGGTCTTTGTATTTGTGTTCTTTTGGGGAAAACCATGACCTTAATTAACATTGGGCATTCTTTGTGTGCGGTGTCGTCTTGCCACTTGGTCCCTGATAATCAGCCAAGTGACTGGGGCCATAACCACTCTCTGATCCCAATATTGGGAATGGCTGAAGATCTCCCATTTTGATAGATTTAAGGAGATATGATCTCCCCTTCTCCCTCTATAAATACTCTTCATCTACGTTAAAACAAATGTAATAATTATTTTCACCCAGAAACTCTGTTAGTACGAAAATCATATTGGCATTTCCTAGACTCTAACATAGGTTGGAAATTAGTATGTGAAGAATTGTTTACTGGATGTTTTGGCACAACACATTCAATCCCATACTTCCAAAGCATGACTTGATCAAAGTGCATGCCTTGTGTTGTTGTGTTTCTTCTCTGTGATAAGGTAAGCCTCAAGCAAGGAGCTTCCTTAGAACTCTGGATATTGATTTGGTTGATTAGGATTTGGACATTGAATATGTTGAATCTTTGAATCTATAACTTAAGCATCACTTATTTTGGTGAATGAATCTGTTGAATATTGAATTGGTTGATTTTTGAGTTGTGTCATTTTGACACTGAAATGGTACTGTTTCACATGGAGACCGATTTGGCACAGTATGATACAGTACCAACTTTGGCAAACGATAATCCTATATCGTACCATACCGGTTTTATTTCCAGTATCAGTAGAGATACGAGCTCAATACCATACCATATCATGCCATACGGCTTGATAAGAAAATCCTTGTTTAGAGAAACCTAGGGAGGAGATGCGTGCTTTGGGGGAGAGAGAGAGAGAGAGAGAGAGAGAGAGAATTCTTATGCCTGCCACCATTGGCGGACCCATAATTTTTTTAGCGGAGGTGCAATATTGACTAAGTATGAAAAATGGTTTTTCGGAATAATCATTTTCTCAACCAAATTTTTGGCGGCTTTTATTCCTTACACATCAAATAAGAAAACTTAATATTATGGAATTTTAGTATGAAGTATATATTGACTTAATGAGCCATCATTTTTAGCATAAATCGTATTTTGCACTAAAACCGATTTTTCATATTTTTATTTGGTGGGAATTTGATTTTCTAGTATTTTTATTTGAATCCAAATGGGGGATACTTCCTTATTTACATTGTAAACTTAAGTAAATGGAGTAATATAAAAATAAATGAAAGTAAAAGGACAAAGACATTTACTTAAATGTTGAAAATGGAAATAAGGTAATATGTACACCAATTGAGCATAGGGGCAATATAATGTAGCCATACCCATTACTTTTAGTTATTTTATTTTTTTATGAGCACTTATAATTTTGTTTTGCATATACATATATATTTTTTTGTCTGATCATATACATATATATAAGCTAATATAAATTTTTTTTATGCCCTTCTCAATCGTGGGCCCCGGGCGGTGGCCCTGGTTGCCCTGGCCAAGGGCCGGCCCTGCTCAGAGGAGACATCGTGTTTTCTTTAAAATCAGGGGAAAAAAAACAGAGGCCGCCTAGCGCCTAGGCCGATTTTACTTTTTTTATTATTTTTTTATTTTTATTCTTTTAAATATAAAACTAGTTTCTTTGCTTTTTTATTTTTTTTCCAACTTCTTTAGTTGAATATATGTATTTAAGTAATATCTTAGCCTTTTGCAATTACTTTAATGAGATATTTAGTCATATACCCATACTTAGCACTAAAAGTATAAATAAACCTTACACCATTTAATTTCTATAAACAAACACAAAAAATGATAGCTGGCCCTATTGAATTTAATTTTGATTATTAAATTACTTTGATGCCCTATTGAGTGTTTTGGGTTTTTTTTATAAGGTTTTAGGGTTTGGTTTGTTTTAAGAAATCAACACAGTTTTGTAATTTAAAAGAAGTTAAAAATCTTTTTATTATATTGTAAATGGGCTTTAATTTATAATTATATTTTAATTATTACTTATTGAGTGAATAATTAGTATTTAAATATTTTACTAATGAAAGAAGCCCACTTCGTTACTCTCTTCTTTTGGTCAGAACACTTCTTTACTTCTTTCACACACAAAACAAAAAACCTATTTTTTATTTTTTAAAATTCTCAGTGTTGTATTTATCTCAAATTTAAGAAAATGAACAATTTAATAAAATTTGGTAAAGAGAAAGGCGGCATTTTCACATTCCAAACTGGTATGTATGCAATCAAACTAGCCGTAGAATCAAGCTAAGACCAAGAAACAACATTCATCTTCTTTTACACAGCGGCATTTACAATTATATGTGACATTGTGCAAAACTTTGAGATGATAAATGTGTCATAATTCAAATCTTGAACAAGTAATTAATTATTTTAAATTCTTTTGTGGTTTTGGTTTTTTATTTTTTATTTATACAAAATTAGTTTGTTAACTTTAATATTTTCAATTAAGTAATATCTTAATACATATATATTCGAATATTTAAATAGTATAGCCGCGCGGTTATACTCTTTATATATATTCGAATATTTAAATAGTATAGCCGGGCGGCTACACTCTTTACATATATTCGAATATTAAAATAGTATAGCTGCACGGCTATACGGTTAAGAATATTTAAACAAAGATAATTAGCTAAGAAATACACTCAGAAACTAAATTGAATCACATCCAGATTTCAAGCCTCAAGGGCTTTGTAGCATCTCAACTCAAACATTCAGCACCATGGCTATACCCTGTCCATATTAAAATTTAAGATGTCAAATGCTCTATTTATTAGTTTCGGATAAAAACATATATAACGAAGAAAGAGAAACAAGAGGGCAGATATGTCATCTTAAAACATTTACCAAAACAATCTATATGCCTGCCAATAATACGAAAGTGAAGATTACAGTATGCGGCAGGCAGGCAGGCAATGCGTCAATTTTTGAGGAGCCTTATGGGCTAGTTTATGGACAAGGGTTATGGCTTTTGTGGTCATTCTTAGAGTTGGTTTAGGGTTACCCTTGTTTGTGCTAGGTTACATAAGTAAATTTTGTAACTTACTGTGGCCTGTTCATACCTGACCAGTTACAGAAATACGTTGTCTGCATTTGCATTTAAAATTTTGTTTGTGATTTACAGGTACCAACACATGGGACAGATTTGAGTTGCGTGTCCACAAGAGGGTTATTGACCTCTTTAGCTCTCCTGATGTGGTCAAGCAAATTACATCCGTCACAATTGAACCTGGTGTGGAAGTGGAGGTTACAATTGCCGAGTCTTAAACTGGACCAGTTTTCCGCATAGCCTTCCCAATTACTTGGACAATGAGCATCGTGAGATAATCAAGACATTGAAATTCTTAAATTGATTTTTGGTGTTGATGGCCTCTGTGGGGGCGTTAAAATGTTTTCTTCCTGGTATTCGGCTATTTTAATTTTGTTTTAATCTTCTACTTGTCCTTCATCATTCTGTGTCAATTGATGAGTTTTTGATGGTTGTCGTGGATTGCCTTGTGAAACTTATTGCATTCCCTAAGCAGGGATGTGCCTGCACCCCAAAACCTAAATCTATAGCTAAAATGGTCACAAACAAGTTAACCGTACAGGCTAACATATTTCATAGTTTCTTATGATCTTGCCTCTTGGTTACGTGAACCATGAATATTTACGATGCTTGGGAATGGCATAATTCAGCTCATTGCATACTGCTGCGGCTAATGAACTCATAACACAAAGATGAACTAATCTTTAATTTAAACTAGTGATTTTAGCTTGCCATATGCCTATATCGATTTAAATAAACATATCTCTATCATCTGTAGTGGGCTGTTGATTGAAATGTCCACTCAAAATCCTTGAATTGTCTGACTTTTAACAAAACCATTGGTAGTTGTGGGTCTTGTTAGCCAATCATCATCTCCAAAGAATCTAATACCACCAATTGTCAAGGTCATTATATGTTCTTAAGCATTGTTTGTGGTTCAACCTTTTATAATTTGGGCTCCTATATTGGGTATAATAGTGAATCTCCCAAATAAATAAGTAATTATGTGTCTTTAATTTTTGTAGGAAATGGCGATTAAAAAAGTGGGAACTAACCTAATTTCAAAAGCATGTTGACCAAAAATTTATAAGAATATTTTCCAAATCCAAAAGTAAATTTGGCAACAAAATGAACGCTATTATCATCATTAATAATAAATAGTAAACTCGAAAATATGGGTTAGGTCAACTGATTGTGCTCACCGCTTGACGAAAGCTAAAATATGTAAAAGAAAAGGAAATATCAGTGTAATTTATCTGAAGAAGCCCAACTAACCCGATTATTATTTGGGCTAGACTCGTGTTTCTCTCTATCATCTGTAGTTGCAGGGCGGAGCTAGAATTGTAAGATTGGAGGGGCCGAGATAGAAAACACAAGTATATCGAATACATATAAGTGTTCAAAAGACATGTTATAACTAAAATTTTCAAAATTAGTCATATCTAGTTGTTATTAAAGGGGCCATTAATTTAAATCACAAGTTGTTGAAGTAGAGAAAATTAAAAGAACAATATTACCCGAAAAAATTCGATGTGAAGCTGTGAACGGTTCTTTGAATGAGTCGCGTACTAAGTTGCTCTCTTTAAGACGTTTCACTGCTCTACCCAATTTGTGCAAATAGTTCAGCAAAGGCCACTATGTCCCCAGGATAAAACAACCCCAAAATCTCCTCTATCTAGATTCTTCCTTGCACTGAGGAAGGACCCGAATACAAACACATTTCTATGTTGCTCAGAAATTTAGTTTAGAAAATAAGAGAAAGATAGAATTTCATGAGATGAAGAGGAAGAAGGCCACAGCTGTTTGTGTTGTGTTTCTCTTCTAGTTTTATATATATATTATACCACCAAAGAAACTTTGGTGGGCTTTAAAGGCAGCAGATACATCAGTTGAGAAAATCAGCTCATAT